ATTTTTATATATTAAATATATTTATTTATAATATAAATTATATGAATTTAAATATAGACATGTAAAATATAGACATGTAAATACATGTAAATATTTTCTAAATATTTACTGTATGTGTGTGTATTTATATACACATAATAAATATACACATTACACATACATATATTATGTAAACAAAAGCTTTTATTTTGGATGCGATTAATCGCGATTAATCGTTTGACAGCACTAATATAAATACAATTGTATGAGAGTAAATGTATTAAAATACATAAATATGTAACTATATACAAATGTGTATATATACATATTAATAAATTTGGTAGTATGCACAAATTTTAATAATGGTGGTCAAAGCCGTTTTTAAGATCTTCTGGTAAGCAAAATAAAAAAAAATTTTGTAATATAGTAAAATATTTTTTTATTTATATATTTATATATAACGTTATTACATAATATTATTATATTGTATATTGTGTGTATGTGTGTGTTAATTTGGTACAATATGCACAAAATTTAACAATTATGGTTAAAGCTGTTTTTAAGAACTGCCGATAAGCAATAATAATTTATGGTTTGTGATTGCTGGTTTCAGCAATTTTTTTAAAACTTATTAAAATTAATTTTTGACAATGTTTTTTGAGAAAAAGGGGTAAAGAGTGAACAGAAAATGATGCATGGTAAAGAGAGGTACAGTATACAATCAGCCAATGACACAAACTAGTAGCAAGTGAAGCAAATAAGAAGGATGGAGTAGTCTGACAGTATAATGACCTTACTTTGTCCGTACTGGCTGTACTGGTAGGGGGCGCTGTGCTCCATGCTGTAGAAGGAGGCCGAGCTGTAGGACTGTGGGCTGGGCAGGTTGGACAGGGCAGGTAGACTGGATAAGGGCTCCATGCGCTGAGAGCAGCTGCTGCTGACCGATCCACCCGAATCCAGAGCACCGCTGAGAGACGACAGAGAAAACTCAGCCGGAGTCTGATGAGAAACTCCAGCTGGGCTTATGAGTCCCATAACCTACACAGAAACAGATCAGAGTTATCAGCCTGGCTCAAACCCAGTCCACACACTGTCTGTTCTAAATAGTGTGATGGGGATTAGTGCATCTAAAATCATAGTGCACTCAAAATAATTCACCTATCAGGAGCTGATATGATCCTAATACTGATCAAAAGCTCAAAATATATTACAATATATTATATTAAGATATTAAGTACAATCCATAGGTGTAATTAAACAATGACTATAATTATATTTTTATTTCAAATTAAAATAGAAATTAATAATAATTATATTAATATATTATGTATAATATATACAATTATTATTACTATATATTTTTTATTTCATCAGAAGTACATGAGATTCTCCTCTAAACATTTTTATATCTATATATATACACACACATGTATTACATTTAGTATTTATATAAGCAAAATATTTAATTTAAGCAAATTATATATATATATATATACCAAAAACTAAAAAAGTTTTATATATAATAGCTAAATATTTGTATATATTGCATCATAATTACATTCAAAATGCTTCATATTATCAACATAATATTAATGCCTCTTTAATTAATGCCCCCCCGTATGATTTAAATTAGTGGTTGATTTTTTTTGGAGCATTCCAAACTTTTGGTGAATATCGTGTGCATGTTAGTTTTTATTTTGTAAAAGCAATAAGAGACTCAAGATGCTGTGTGATGTTCCTTCAGCTGTAACTGTATTGTTTGAATAACACACATGCATACAGATGCATATCTGGGTAGATCCCTGTGACCCGAGATTGATCAGGCAAAAAATAATTGAATTTGGGGATTTTTTAATCTAATTCTTGGACTAGAACTGAGCCAGAGGGCAGCGTAGTGTGTGTGTGTGTGTGTGTGTGTGCGCGCACATTCAGGTGTGTGTACTCATTACTATTTACTCTGTGCTGCATTTGAGGAATGTTGCATGTGCGCTCTGGGGAATAAAAGTTCCTGAAGCCTAATTGAATCTACCAGCAGAATTATGGCCAAAAGAAACACATACTCCAGTTGCTGCACCAAATAAGCACCTTTACATAGAAACAGAGAGAGAATAGCATGTCTCCCAGGCTACAGGATCCTATTACATCAGTGCATACAGTCAAAGCACTGCAGAACACACACACACACACATACACACACACACGGTCACGCACATGGTCTCGCTTAAGCCACTTCCCATAGT